ATGACTGTTCAATTACCGTTCGTTTCCGTCCGAAGAGCGTTCAATTACCGTTCGACGGTCGTTCATTTCCGTTCGACAGCGTTTGACAACCGTTCGTTTCCATTCGATGGCCGTTCAATTATCGTTCGTTTCTGTTCGAAGAGCGTTCGTTTCTGTTCGAAGAGCGTTTAATTACCGTTCGACGAGCGTTCGATGATCGTTCGTTTTCGTTTGATGACCGTTCAATTACCGTTCGACGAGCGTTCGACGACCGTTCGTTTCCGTTCAAAGAGCGTTCAATTACCATTCATTTCCGTTTGACGACCGTTCGAAGAGCGTTCGAAGAGCGTTTGATAGCCGTTCAACGTGTGTTCGATGATCATTCATTTTCGTTTGATCGGTTGATGCATTACATTATATCGTGCTAATTTGCATGGGAAGATGTATACTTTTGTCTGACGACGTGTTTTTAGCAAAGCGATAATGATACGTCCCTATTCTAAAGTTTCGTACCGAGAAGTTTGTCTGCTCGCAAAGTCGCGATATTAATATTATACTATACCGCGCTGAGTGGCATGGGACCGGGTGTACTTTTGTCTTACGACGCGTTTTTGGCATGGTGATAATGCGGCATCTCTACTATAAAATCCCGTGCCGGGACCTCGTGTCTCATCATAAAGTTCTAACTGGTGCGCGAGTTAAGAAGAGAAGTAAAAAACAAAAAAAACAATGGAGTACATTTTCGAGAATTGTGCAGGATGGAAGCAGGCCTTTTCGGACCTGCTATGCGAACTGCTAGTGAAGCTGGCATTCCATTGGAATGTAAGTATTGATTTTGCGAATAATTTATAAAAAATTTGTATATCTATAATACTTATATTTTTATATATTTCTAGTCTCAGGATGAAGTTGAAATACCGGGATTTGTCAACATTAGACGCCGGCAGTGGGTGCGGGCGGAGCGGCGGTGGAGGAGACAGTACCTCTCCTTCATGTGGGGTGACGCCCCGGAGAGTCCCCCTGACGAAGAGGACATCTTCGATCTGCGGCGGCTCTTCGGAGAAGAGCCCTACATGGAGGAGGAGATTTGGGTGCCCGGGGAGATTCGGGCACCCAATGGCATGTGTAATGGGGAGCACAGATGTACTTTTTTTTTATAAATCTTATTATAACTACACTTGTATTAATCCAATATCTTTTTTTCTGTTATAGGAGCGGCCTCCTCACCCGGCTCCCCTCTGATCCCCCACCTCCGAACCCCCCGCACCCCTCAATAATATTATTTTTAAAATTATATTTTATATTTTATTTTAAAATTTTATTATTACTAATCATAATTTTAAGTACATACACACACACACACAAATATGTATAAAACACATACACATTTTAAAATAAATTTATATTTTATATTTTAATAAAAAAAAATCTAATTATTTATGCGCCTCTCCTCGCGTTCCCATCCCTGTGTTTCTCTCTCGCGCTAGTTATCGCGATATCGTTCTCTCTCGCACGCGTTAATCATAAGTCTCGCGCTAGTTGTAAGTCTATCTCTTTCTCTCGCGCTTAGAATTAGTAATCTCTATCATACTCGTTAGTTGTAAGTCTCGCGATATTATCATTCTCTCTTGTACATGTCGTTTTCGCGTTATCGTTCTCTCGCGCACGCGCTAGTTGTAAGTCTTCGCGGTATTATCATTCTCTCTCGCACGCGCTAATTGCAAGTCTCGCGGTATTATCATTTTCTCTCGCACGCGTTGTCTTAAAATATTATCGTTCTCTCTCTTTCGCTTAGAATATACTCGTTGCTCACTTACCTTTGCGTCGTCCTTCTCTCACATATACGTCGTTCTTGTCCCTCGTTAACGCCATCCTTGTCGCCCTCATAGCACTGTCCTCTTCACACACTTTGCACTGTCCTTTTCCATACATAGCGTTGTCCTTCTCACACCACCGTCCATCGGTCGCGCCGCAGATCCCCCTTCACCGCGCGGACCCCCTCGTCCATCGCTCGCGCCGCGGATCTCCCTTCACTGCGGGTGACGTCACCCTCCGCGCGCTGCGGTTCCTCCTTTCCCGCGCGTGACGTCACTCCCCCCGCACCGCGGTTCCCTTCGCGCCTCACCCCCCCTGAGAGGACCTGAGTTAGAACTGACATAGTTATACTACTCAAAAGAAATGACAAATAAAATTAATAAACGCGAAAAACATAATATCGTTTGTCTCTCCGGGGAGCTCGATAATGTTCTTTCGATGCAGATTCTGGCGCGGCTGCTCGGCCCGTTAAACTTATCGGGGCGGATGAACGCGCGACAGGACTGCAACGTCACAATATATATATATATATACATATATATATATTATATATAATATATATAATATATATATATATATATATATATATATATTCATATGATTAATATATGATTATTATTATTTATGTTACAGAAAATATACAACTCTTGGAAGCGGAGAAACCTTGGAAGTGGAAGTTAGATGATATTACCAATAAAATTCTACAAAAGAATAATACATATAAACAAATATTGTAATGTAATTACTAATGTGCTCGCGAAATGTCCACTAAGTATCATAATATTTTTAAATAGATGCCATAAGTTTACAAATAAGTATCTGACAAAAGATATTAAAAATTTATATATATATATAAATTATAAATATTAATTCTGAACATCACCATAATGTTCAGAATTTATATTTATTCGTATAAATTTTTAATATCTTTGGTCACATACTTATTTGTAAACTTATGACATCTATTTAAAAATATTATGATACTTAGTGTACATTTCGCGATAACATTAGTAATTACATTACAATATTTGTCTATATGTATTATTCTTTTGTAGCATTTTATTGGTGATATAAAAGTCATTATATTAAAAACAGAGACAAATAAATTTAAGCATTAGATGTTTTAATAGATATAAATAATTTATAGATTCAAGAATAAGAATTTTTATAATTCTGTAACGTTCCGTTTTTCCCGGAGATTAGATTGTGGATAAACTCGTCGGATTCGGGGTAATGAATGGTGAGCGAATTGGAATGTAAAAGAAAGAATGTATTTATTCAAATCGAATGCGTGTGTACAAGTAGTGTGTATCTTGTTGCGATTATAAATGTGAGCGGGTTTGAGTGTATAAATGTCTGCGTCGCGAGTTATAAATGTGAGCGTATTCACGTGTATAAACGTCTGAATGCGCGTGCAAAATGCAGGTGGTTCAATGCGCCAGTATAACTGTTATTTGTAAATTCGATAAATTCGCTGATATAATACGCGTGTATAAAAACGTTGTTTTGACGCGTGCGGATATGCGCTCAGAATCGATCGAAGACCTCGCGTTGTTGTGCCGGTGTTTTTGTCGCGTTTCTTACACGGGGAATCCCGTCGTTCTGAGAATCCCGTGTACGAAGAAAAAGCCGGTGGATTCCGGGAAATAATACGCTATTTCCGCGAAATAATATGCGATCTCCGCGAACGGAAATATCGCGCTAATAAATCGGGATCGCGCTTTAAGAACAGCTGGTCTCGAGAACTCTCGATCGGGGCGGCTCTGAACTCCACCTTCCGTGGGTTTTGCCAGCCGGGATGTGGAGGAGCGGATGGAGGCAGTACTCCACGCGATAGCGAGAACTCTCGGCTTAGGCTGAGTACTCTCAACCGGTTCGATCGGGGCGGTAGTGCCGGTTTTAGGTGCCTGGTAATTTCTCTCGAGCGTACAGCTTAAGAGCAGGACAGGAGAATGTCTCTTTTAGCCGAAATACGGCCTTTTTATACCGGCTAATTACCCGCATCGGCGCGCGGCGGTGTTACCCCTTCCGAACGGGTTAATTGCGGTACGGTACGGTCGGGCCCGTTCGGAGGGATTCGGGTTTGCGCCGAGCGCGGGTTTTCGCCGGTCGGTCGGTCGGACCGCGTCGGCTTCGCTCGGCAATTCTCGGCCGTTTTGGATTTACAACGGCCCCGGTTTTTTGAAACGTATTAAAAATGTGGGCGCACCGCGCACCTGCCTCTGCCCGGCGGGTGTTCTACCGGGCGGCAGCTTCCGGCGATGTTGTTGCCGGGAATTCGGAACGGTGCATCGGAGTGCACCGTTACATCACCCCCTATGTTAAATATGCCCGAATCGGGCATCCGCTTCGGTCGGTCGGTCGGTTGGGCGGGTGGATGCCTGGTCGTCGGCTGTGTTTAGGAAAATAAATAAACGGTTTTCATCATTTATTAAGCCGCGCGTGGTGCAATGCGGCGGCAGTAACGCACCCTGCCATCGCGGGTGAATCTAATGATCCACCGTCCGGCAGGTGTTCGCGCCTTGTATCGGTGCGATACATATACCGCGAAATGAGGGACCTCCACGGTGATCCCTGGCTCGACCTCAACGAGGATCGGTGGCGGCGGCAACGGACCCATTGGTCGCAAGATGGTCGGCAGCTCGGCTGGCGCGTCCCCTCGGTTGACTGGCCGGGGTGGCCTCTCGTATGCTGCTGGGCCCTTCGCTGCGGTGGTGGTGATGGCGGCGTCAGGAGAGTCTCCTGCTTCTGCCGGTTGACTCGGTCGGACCACTGGATGATGGTGCCGACTCGAGGTGGCCGCGGCGGTGGTGGTGCGGCAATGCGGGGCGGCGCGGGTTCCTCGGTCCGCGTCGCGAGGTTGCTCGCCTCGTACTCTCGAAGCAGAGCGGTGATCTCGTCCAGGATTTCCGAATTTTGATCCATCTTCCAAGAAGTCTGGCTCAGTTGTGAGCGTTATCGACAAACGAGGTGTCAGGCTCGTTATCGATGTCCTCGTTGGGGGGGATAAGGTTGACATTGTTGTTGTTTTGATGAGCCGTTTTTAAATCCTGGATATGTACATGCCTTATCCACTTTCCCCTTTTGCTCTTGAGATCCACTATAACGGGTGAGACGATTTTTTGGATCTCGTATGGCCCGCTGAACTTGGGCGCCAATTTGGCGTTGTACGCTTCGCTTTTCTTAGAAAGAGGGTGATCGCGCTTTCACATCCATTCACCGACGTTCGGTTTCCAAGGCCGACGCCGGAGGTCGTAATGGCGTTTCTGGCGCTGGAAGGCTTGCGCCAAATGGAGCTTCATCACTTCGTATGCCTCGGTGAGCTTGTTCCGGATGACGTCAGGCGCGTCCGGTACTGTGGTCTGCGGATCGGTGTCTTCCGGGGCTTGCATTTCGCGCCCGTAATTTAGGAAAGCCGGCGTGTATCTGGTCGCGTCGTGGAGTGCCGTGTTGTAGGCGAATTGCAAGGCCGGTATGTGTTCGTCCCAGGCTCGATGATCTTTGTCGATGTACTGGGTGATCATCGTCTTGACGGTGCGGTTCGTTCTCTCGACCGGATTGCAATGAGGCGAGTAAGCCGGTACGGTGATATGCCGGATATCCCATGCTCGTAGGCGCTCCTCCAACTGGATGGATCTCAACTGTGTCCCGTTGTCCGATAGCAACCCGGATTCGGGTCGGCCGTGTCGCAGGAGAATGCGCTCGGTCAGTGCCTTGGTGACGGCGGCGGCGGTAGCTCGGCGCAACGGCACAAGCTCTACCCATTTCGTGAACGGTCTTGGAGGACGAAAAGCCACGTATGTCCTTGGTGCGAACGTGGCAACGGACCGACGAGATCCAGCGTCACTTGTTCCCAGGGTCGGCCGACGTACGTAGAGTGCAGTGCCCCGGCCGGTCGTTGCTGAGCGACCTTGTGGACCTGGCAGTTCTGGCAGGCTCGTACGTAACCGGCAATCTCGCGCAACATCCCCGGCCAGTAATATCTCTTGGCAATCCGGGCGATGGTTTTCGCGATGCCCAAGTGCCCGGCGATGGGGGCGTCGTGGTATTGCTGTAATATCTTCCTCCGGTCCTCCTTGGGTATGCAACGTTTCCACTGCTCGTCCGGGTGGCTGTCCTTGAAGTCCAGGCTGTGATATATGAGGCGGTGTAGTTGTCCATCCTGGATGCGGTAATCGGGATACGCGGCGGGGTCATTCTGGACCCCTTCCCGCGTGCGGCGGTACCAGGAGCATTCCTGGCGTCTGGCGGCGCAGGTAGCCGGGTGACGCGACAATGCGTCTGCGACCCGGTTTAACACCCCGCGGCGGTATCGTACGTCGAAATCGTACTGCTGGAGCTCGAACACCCAGCGTCCGAGGCGTCCGGTCGGTGATTCCATTTTTTGCAGCCATCGTAGGGATTGATGGTCGGTTACGACGGTAAAAGAGTAACCCTCGAGGTAACTCTTCATGCGCCGGATGCCCCAGACGATGGCCAGGCATTCGAGCTCCGTCGCCCTGTAAATTAAAATTTTTATTATCAGACCAATTAAAAATTATCCGATTTACGTCGTGTTTGATATCATTTTAATCGCAAAAATCTCAATGATTCATTAAAATTACTTTCGTATCGATAAAATAAAAAATAGGAGTTTCAGTTTTCAGTTTATTATCTCGTAAATTGCGAATGGATAGAGAAAGTGAAGAAGCCGATTGTAAGAGACTTCGGAATTCTTTGATGATAGGTCATCTCGCTCGCTCTCGACTCGCTGTCGCTCTCGCACTTGATAGGTCGTAAAGATAAGCGGACTCGGCTTCCTCGCGAATGTAAACATCTTATAAAATAAAAACTGAAACGCCTATTTTTTACTTTATCTATTTGAAAGTAATTTTAATGAATTATTGAGATTCTTGCGATTAAAATGATATCAAACACGATATAGATCCAATAATTTTTAATTGGTCTGATAATAAAAATTTTGATTATATACATTTATCCGATTGATACCGCGTTTGATGTTGTTTTAAAATTTGTCGTCATTGTCGCAAAATTTTCATTGTTCCATTACAATTACTCGCATACCCTTATAAATATATCTTAAAATGATTAATTTATTTATTTCTCACAATTTGACATCGGTCGCTTGCCAGCGGCAGGCTTGATAACGAGATGAATATGACAGTATATGAGTACGTAAGAGCGAGTGAAACAATAACAGAAGCGAGCGAGAGAGAAATAGTATGCCAGACTGCAAGAAAGACTCGGTTTTCGAGTCTTCGTTGCTTGTTCTATTCCTATCTCGCTCACTCTTATTGCCATTTCTCTCCCTCTTATTACCTTCTCGCTTGTTCACATACTCCCGCGTACACTATATATATATATATATATATATATATATATATATATATATATATGTATATATATATATATGCATATACATATACATATATATATATATATATAAGTGTATAAAACGACCGTATATTCGTGCTAGATTCATTAATTATTGTGAATCTCAAAATAAAGTTCGAAACATTATTGCGTATGATCTTTTTTTCATTTTGGTAATATTTATTATTGGAGTAACATACACATATATATTTTATTAAAATACTTTTATTGAAATTATTAAAAAATTAAATTTTATGTGAAATAAAATAAGCATTTTAATTTTATATACAATATATTATACACGCATATACATATATATTACTTTATAATATATGCTAAAGTGAAAAAAGATCACGCGCTGTTAATAATATGTAATAAAAATTAATAAATGTATGATATGTTTCGTACTTTTGAGATCCACAATTATGGATCTAGCACGGACATGAACCAATCGGTCGTTTTACCGTGGCAGCCAAAAGTGGATCCAGCCACGTAGTACCGCCGGCCGTAAAATGGATCCAGTTAGCGCCACTTTATGGCGGGGAAAAAGCGTTCCCTGAAAAAGGGCAGCGTGACCCCTCTCAGTCTTCTCTCTGCTATAATGCTTAATTAAATAATTAGTGAATCACATCAAATGTTATTGTAGTGTCAGGCATATTAACAATTTTAAGCCCTAAGCCTTAAGAAATTGACCAATCACAGTCTAGTATTAAGAGAATATTCGATTGTGATTGGTCAATTTCTTAAGTCTTATGCATTAAAATCTCATTGTAGAAGACGCTTAACACGTCGTCTACAATGGCAGTAGGATTAATGGATTAAAGCAGTAACTTAAGGAATTGACCAATCACATTCAAGCATTAAAAGAATACTCGACTGTGAAACTCGAGTGTTACGCCTTACAATCTTATGCTACGGCCATGCAGACGAACCTTTAATCCTGATTTACCACAGATAATTTAAGCCCTAAGCCTTAAGAAATTGTTCAATCACAGCCGAGCATTGTCTTCATAAGCCGCGTTACGAAATTATTATCAGTATACTGCAAATTTTATAGTGCACGTTACGTATATTATATATTTTCAGTGTTTACAGTAAACTGGCAGCAATTTCGGAACACGGCCATACTTGACTGTGATTTGTCAATTTCTTGAGTCTTTCGCCTTTCAACCTTATGCTACGGTTATTGTAGACGACTCTTGAAGCGTCATCTACACTGAGATTTTAAGGAGACTTGAGGCGTAAGACTTAAGATGTTGACCAATCACAATCGAATATTCTCTTAATACTTGACAATAATTGGTCAATTTCTTAAATCATACGCCTTAATTCTCCTTAAAATTTCATTGTAGACGACGCTTAATGTAGCGTCTATAATTAGTGTTTAATGCGTAAGTCTTAAGAAATTGACCAATCACGGTCTAGTATTAAGAGAATATTCGATTGTGATTGGTTAGTTTCTTAAGCTTTACTCCTTAAAATCTCATTGTAGAAGACGCTTAAAGGCTATTCTACAGTGGCCGTAGCATAAGGATGTAAGGCGAAAGACTCAAGAAAATGACCAATCACAGTCAAATATTAAGAGTATACTCGATTGTGATTAATCAATTTCTTGAGATTTACGTTTTAGAACCTTATGCTACGGCCATTGCAGACGAACCTTTAATCCCGATCTACAACAGATAATTTAAGCTCTAAGCATTAAGTAATTGTCCAATCACAGTCGAGCATTCTCTTCATAAGCCGCGTTCCGAAATTATTACCAGTATACTGCAAATTCTATAGTGCACGTTACTTATATTATATATTTTCAGTGTGGCAGTAATCTGGCGGCAATTTCGGAACACAGCCATACTTGACTGTGATTGGTCAATTTCTTGAGTTTTACGCCTTACAACTTATGCTGCGGTCATTGTAGACGACTCTTGAAGCGTCGTCTACATTGAGATTTTAAGGATACTTAAGGCGTAAGAAGTTGACCAATCACAATCGAATATTCTGTTAATACTTGACTGTAATTGGTCAATTTCTTAAATCTTACGCCTTAAGTCTCTTTAAAATTTCATTGTAGACGACGCTTAATGTAGCGTCTATAATAAGATTTTAAGTCGTAAGACTTAAGAAATTGACCAATCGCAGTATAGTATTAAGGGAATATTCGATTGTGTTTGGTGAATTTCTTAAGACAAACGCCTTAATATCTCATTGTAGATGACGCTTAAAGGCAATTCTACAGTGGCTGTAGCATAAGATTGTAAGGCGAAAAACTCAAGAAATTGACCAATCACAGTCAAATTTTAAGAGAATACTCGACTGTTATTGGTCAATTTCTTGAGTTTGATGACTTACAATCTTATTCTACGGCCATTGCAGATGACCCTTTAATCCCGATCTACAATACATAATTTAAGCCCTAAGCTTTAAGAAATTGACCAATCACAGTCTAGTATTAAGAGAACATTCGATTGTGATTGGTTAATTTCTTAAGTCTTACGCCTTAAAATCTCATTGTAGAAGACGCTTAACACGTGGTCTACAATGGAAGTAGGATTAACGGATTAAAGCAGTAACTTAAGGAATTGACCAATCACATTCAAGCATTAAAAGAATACTCGACTGTGATTGGTCAATTTATTGAGTTGCAGCTTTAATTCATTAATTCTACTGCCATTGTAGACGGTGCTTTAAGATCGTCCTAAGTGGCCGTAGCGTAAGGTTGTAAGGCGTAAGATTCAAGTAATTGACCAATTACAGTCAAATATTAAGAGAATACTCGACTGTGATTGGTCAATTTCTTGAGTTTTACGCCTTACAACCTTATGCAACGGCCATTGCAGACAAACCTTTAATCCCGATCTACAACAGATAATTTAAGCCCTAAGCCTTAAGAATTTGACCAATCACAGCCGAGCATTCTCTTCATTAGCCGTGTTCCGAAATTGTTTTAATAATAGTCAAATATTGCCTTCAACTTCATCAACTTCAACTTCAAATCCAGACTCTATGTCCTTGGTTTACGAATGTGATGACCAATCAAATGTCTGTACAAGTTAATGAAATCAGCTATTTCCAAAATAACAGTTATAATTCAGACAATGAATCTACTCATTCAAAACTTTCTGATAAACTTAACTATTTTTTCATTAATGTTGAATTCACGAATTCTGTCGACAATCTTCCATCTTTTAAATCTTGGTTGCAAGAGTGGGCAATTAAAGATAATATAACACACGTCGCGCTGAATGAACTTATATCGCGTATCGAACCTCAATACCCTGACTTGCCGAGAGATGCTCGCAGTTTATTAGGGACGCCCAGAAAGATCAATGTAGATGATGTTGCACCAGGACACTACTATCATTTCGAGTTAAAAAATTGCATTGAAACACTTTTAACGCGACATTCTTCAAAAAATATGGAACTTATTGAAGTTAACATAAACATTGATGGACTGCCATTACACAAAAGTTCAACAAGTCAAGTTTATCCGATTTTATGCAATTTAGTTAACAATTTCAGTGAAGTTAATGTTATTAAAATATATCATGGATTTGAGAAACCATCTGATGCCAATTTATTTTTAAAACCATTTATAGAAGAAGCAAGAAATTTAACAATTAATGGATTAATGATAAACGGGCACACTTATCCTTTTAAAATCCGATTTATATGCGACGTCCCGGCGAAGTCATTTATTACGTACACAAAAGGTCATTCGGGCTATTATGCATGTTCTAAATGTACTGCTAGAGGCGAATATTATCGGGATAGAGTGATCTATCCATATTTGACAAGTTGTGATTCACGTACCAATCATGATTTTCGATTAAAATTACAACAAAGCCATCATGTTGGAACATCAAATCTTGAATCGATTCCAAATATAAATATAGTGGATGATTTCCCCTCTGATCCAATGCATTTAATTTTTCTAGGAATTGTCAACAAACTAGTTGTGTCTCTACAGTGTTTTGGAAAATCAGGTACGAAATTATCACATCAACAAGTATCAGTCATATTA